TCTCGTGTGTTCGTGTGTCTCGGGGGTGTGAATGAAAGTGACTAAATGTGTTGTATCCTTAACCCAGGTTCCCCAATGGCGACCGGAGTGGTTTTGATTGGCCCCCAAAAGGTTCTGAGCAAAAAAATACTAATGGTTGAATGTTCATTGTTCGACGTAATAGACTGTAAAAAAAAAACACCAAGGAATCAGCTCCAAGTGATTTTCATTTATTCCCACGCCTAATAGAGGCGCGTGATCGTATACAAATGTAAGCAAGGTTTGAAATGATAATGTTTTAGTCAAATTATATCTGTTTGGGCTTCTTGCGGTCAATTTGCAGTCTTCAAATTATTGTAATTATGTTCCGGCCCCCCCCCCCGACCAGCCGCTCAAAAAAAAAGTCGTCCCGCGGCTGAATCCAGTTGAGGATCCCCGACATAACCCTTACTGCACCCATTCTCATAATAGAAGATGACTCTAACACTGTGTGTGTGTGTCTGTGTGCAGACTAAGAGGCGTTTTGCCAAGGAGTGGGGAGAGGCAGAGAAAGCCACGCAGCAAGCAGAGAAAATTGAGAATGACTCAAACGCCATCAAAGCAGATGTTGAGAAGGTACCCACACTCACACAGATTCCCTCAACGTTCATACCACGGGCCTATATACCCATTAATACTGCTGTGTGTGTCCAGGTGAAGCAGCATGCCCATGCGAAGACCCACACAGCGGAGGAGTGCAGGAACGACTACGCTGCCCAGCTCCAGAAATACAACAAGGAACAGAAAACCTTCTACTACACAGAGATACCACAGCTGTTTAATGTAACACATACTTTACTGACTGATCTGTGTCCACACGTGTACTGTCCACTCTGTCTGTGTATAATGCATGTGTGTGTATAATGTGTGTTTGTGTGTATATGTTTGTGTGTGTGTATATGTTTGTGTGTGTGTTGGTGTGTATAATGTTTGTGTATGTGTGTGTATAATGTGTGTGTGTATATAGTATGTTTATGTGTTTGTATATAATGTTTGTGTGTGTATATATATACAGTGGGGAGAACAAGTATTTGATACACTGCCAATTTTGCAGGTTTTCCTACTTACAAAGCATGTAGAGGTCTGTAATTTTTATCATAGGTACACTTCAACTGTGAGAGACGGAATCGAAAACAAAAATCCAGAAAATCACATTGTATGATTTTTAAGTAATTCATTTGCATTTTATTGCATGACATAAGTATTTGATACATCAGAAAAGCAGAAACTTAATATTTGGTACAGAAACCTTTGTTTGCAATTACAGAGATCATACGTTTCCTGTAGGTCTTGACCAGGTTTGCACACACTGCAGCAGAGATTTTGGCCCACTCCTCCATACAGACCTTCTCCAGATCCTTCAGGTTTCGGGGCTGTCGCTGGCGCAATACGGACTTTCAGCTCCCTCCAAAGATTTTCTATTGGGTTCAGGTCTGGAGACTGGCTAGGCCACTCCAGGACCTTGAGATGCTTCTTACGGAGCCACTCCTTAGTTGCCCTGGCTGTGTGTTTCGGGTCGTTGTCATGCTGGAAGACCCAGCCACGACCCATCTTCAATGCTCTTACTGAGGGAAGGAGGTTGTTGGCCAAGATCTCGCGATACATGGCCCCATCCATCCTCCCCTCAATACGGTGCAGTCGTCCTGTCCCCTTTGCAGAAAAGCATCCCCAAAGAATGATGTTTCCACCTCCATGCTTCACGGTTGGGATGGTGTTCTTGGGGTTGTACTCATCCTTCTTCTTCCTCCAAACACGGCGAGTGGAGTTTAGACCAAAAAGCTCTATTTTTGTCTCATCAGACCACATGACCTTCTCCCATTCCTCCTCTGGATCATCCAGATGGTCATTGGCAAACTTCAGACGGGCCTGGACATGCGCTGGCTTGAGCAGGGGGACCTTGCGTGCGCTGCAGGATTTTAATCCATGAAGGCGTAGTGTGTTACTAATGGTTTTCTTTGAGACTGTGGTCCCAGCTCTCTTCAGGTCATTGACCAGGTCCTGCCGTGTAGTTCTGGGCTGATCCCTCACCTTCCTCATGATCATTGATGCCCCACGAGGTGAGATCTTGCATGGAGCCCCAGACCGAGGGTGATTGACCGTCATCTTGAACTTCTTCCATTTTCTAATAATTGCGCCAACAGTTGTTGCCTTCTCACCAAGCTGCTTGCCTATTGTCCTGTAGCCCATCCCAGCCTTGTGCAGGTCTACAATTTTATCCCTGATGTCCTTACACAGCTCTCTGGTCTTGGCATTGTGGAGAGGTTGGAGTCTGTTTGATTGAGTGTGTGGACAGGTGTCTTTTATACAGGTAACGAGTTCAAACAGGTGCAGTTAATACAGGTAATGAGTGGAGAACAGGAGGGCTTCTTAAAGAAAAACTAACAGGTCTGTGAGAGCCGGAATTCTTACTGGTTGGTAGGTGATCAAATACTTATGTCATGCAATAAAATGCAAATTAATTACTTAAAAATCATACAATGTGATTTTCTGGATTTTTGTTTTAGATTCCGTCTCTCACAGTTGAAGTGTACCTATGATAAAAATTACAGACCTCTACATGCTTTGTAAGTAGGAAAACCTGCAAAATAGGCAGTGTATCAAATACTTGTTCTCCCCACTGTATATATATGTATAATGTGTGTGTGTATATATAATGTACGTGTGTATAATGGTGTGATATAATGTGTGTGGTGTATATAATGTTTGTGTGTGGTGTGTATATATATATATATATATATATATATATATATTATATATAGATATATATATTATATATACACACACACACACACAACCACACACCACACACACCACCACACACACGTATATAGGTGTATGTGGTGTGTGTATATGTATATATAATATATATAGATATATATCTATATATATATATATATATATATATATATACACACACACACACACGTATATATATGTGTGTGTGTGTAGAAGCTGCAGGATATGGATGAGCGTCGTATAGGTGCTGGCGGAGGGCTACAGTCAGTTTGCTGAACATAGAGAAGAAGGTTTACCCATAATCTCTAAATGTCTGGACGGGGTCAGTATGGCAGGGCGGAACGCTAACGGCAAGCAGGTGAGAAACACACGGACGCAAGCGTGCATACACACACTTAAGCGCACACACACGGGCGCTAACACACACACACACACACACACACTGTCTCACTCGCCATGTCCTGTGTGTGTGTGTCCTCAGGACTCCATGCGGTTTATAGAACAACACAAGTCAGGTTTTGAGCGACCGGCTGAAGTTGACTTTGAAGACTACAGCCAAGGTATCAAACCAGCCTCCTCAGACGCCAACCTCAACCAACCTAAAGTACGCACTAAACTGTGGCCGTTCAGCCACAAGAAAACCAAGGTATGTACCCTGCACACTACACCCTACCCTACACACTAACCTACATCAGACTCCAGCCTCAACCACCCTAAAGTACGCACCAAGCTGTCGCCCTTCAGCAAGAAGAACAAGGTACAGTTAAAGTCGGAAGTTTACGTACACTTAGGTTGGAGTCATTAAAACTCGTTTTTCAACCACTCCACACATTTCTTGTTAACAAACTAAGTTTTGGCAAGTCGGTTAGGACATCTACTTTGTGCATGACACAAGTCATTTTTCCAACAATTGTTTACAGATTATTTCACTTATAATTAACTGTAAACTTCCGACTTCAACTGTATATACTAGCACCCTACACCCTGCACCCTACACCCTACACCCTGCACCCTACACCCTACACACTACACCCTACACCCTACACACTACACCCTACACCCTACACACTACACCCTACACCCTACACACTACACCCTACACACTACACCCTACACACTACACACTACACCCTACACCCTACACCCTACACACTACACCCTACACCGGCAAACAGGTAATAGAAAATGGGGATTCGAATTTTTGGATAGAATAAATAAGAATGCAAATCACCAAGAATTCAGTAAAAAACAATATTTAAATTCAGGAAATCTGTTCCCAAGTATTCCTACAAATAATCAAGGTATGAAATTATTGTTATTTTCAATCCAGTCTCTTATTGGTCTTACTGGGGGTCAGTCTCTTCTTGGTCTTACTGGGGGTCAGTCTCTTATTGGTCTTACTGGGGGTCAGTCTCTTATTGGTCTTACTGGGGGTCAGTCTCTTATTGGTCGTACTGGGGGTCAGTCTCTTATTGGTCGTACTGGGGGTCAGTCTCTTATTGGTCTTACTGGGGGTCAGTCTCTTATTGGTCGTACTGGGGGTCAGTCTCTTATTGTTCGTACTGGGAGTCAGTCTCTTCTTGGTCTTACTGGGGGTCAGTCTCTTCTTGGTCGTACTGGGGGTCAATTTACTGGGTACACTATTATTATTATTATTATTATTATTATTATTATTATTATGTTTCGGCCGCTCGAACCATCCACTTAGACAACCGGCCCACAGCTGAATCTAGCACACTACACTCCCCCACTCCAAAGTGTGCACTAATCTCTGTCACTTGAGAAAGAGGGGCCAGGTACAATAGACCAGGGGTCAACCAGCCTACCCCCCTCCCTCCCTCCCTCCTGTCCTCTACTCATCTCTCTTCTCTTTCACCTCCCTCCTTGTCTTTCCTCTCTTTCATTGGGCTACAGCATTCTGTTCATCCTTCCTCTCTTTCATTGGGCTACAGCATTCTGTTCATCCTTCCTCTCTTTCATTGGGCTACAGCATTCTGTTCATCCTTCCTCTCTTTCATTGGGCTACAGCATTCTGTTCATCCTTCCTCTCTTTCATTGGGCTACAGCATTCTGTTCATCCTTCCTCTCTGACATTGGGCTACAGCATTCTGTTCATCCTTCCTCTCTGACATTGAACAAGCCTGGTCGGGGGCTGGGATAGTTCTTAGTGTTGGGTAATCAGAACCCCCCTCTATACACACACATTCCACACCTCTCTGCTCCCCTCTTACACCTGAGGGGCCAATTCCAGCGCTGCTCAGGCTCGCCCAACATCCCCTCTCTCTCTTTCTTTCAATTCAATTCAAAGGGCTTTCTCTGTCTCTCTCTCTCTCTCTCAATTCAAAGGGCTCTCTCTCTCTGTCTCTCTCTCTCTCAATTCAAAGGGCTCTCTCTCTCTGTCTCTCTCTCAATTCAAAGGGCTCTCTGTCTCTCTCTCTCAATTCAATTCAATTTAAGGGCTTTATTGGCATGGGAAACGTATGTTAACATTGCCAAAGCAAGTGAAGTAGATAGTAAACAAAAGTGAAATAAACAATAAATATTAACAGTAAACATTACACTCAGAAGTTCCAAAAGAATAAAGTCATTTAAAATGTCATATTATGTATATATACAGTGTTGTAACAATGTGCAAATAGTTAAAGTACAAATGGGAAAATAAATAAACATGAATATGGGTTGTATTTACAATGGTGTTTGTTCTTCACTGGTTGCCCTTTTCTTGTGGCAACAGGTCACAAATCTTGCAGCTGTGATGGCACACTGTGGTATTTCTTCCTCTTTAATGTCGCTCTCTGTCTCTCTCTGTCTCTCTCTGTCTCTCTCACTGTGTGTGTTATGATTCTATATCTCTACATGGTGTTTCTTCAGGGTATTTCTTCCTCTTTTCTCTCAGCCTTAATCCTCTCTTTCTTCTTTTTCTTTATGGTGTCTATCCCTCCTCCCCCTCTCCTTTCCCACCTCCCTCCTTCCCTCCCCAGTACTCTCCCCCCCTCTAACTGCCCCCTCCCCCTCCCCCTGTCCCCCTAACCCCTTCCCCCTCTCTAAACTGCGTCGCGCCCCCCCCCCCCTCTCTCTCTCTCTCTCTCTCTCTGCCGGAGGGAGTTTAACCGTTCTGTCAAACCTCGCCTTGCTACCTTCAGGGCTCTACCCAGACCGGTGAGTCTCCCTAGATCTAAGGACAGTTTTGTATTTCCCCTCCTAATGTTTCAGGTTAGGATTATAGGAGGGTAATCTGGTCCTAGATCAGTGGTTAGGTTATTTTCGAATGGATCCGTTTAGGATTATGGGAGGAAAACTGGTCCTAGATCAGTGTATTGGGTAACCACCATACTCAGGTGAGTCACAGGGGTCAGTGTTCCGCACCAACAACAGAGACTCTGATTGGCTAGATCAGGGCTGCCCAATTCCGGTCCTGGAGGGCCAAAACACTTCTGGTTTTTTGTTTCTACCTGGTAGTTAATTCCACTCACCTGGTGTCAGACCCTGATTAGAAGGAGAGGAGGAAAAGCTGAAGTGTTTGGATTGGACAGCCCTGGGCTAGATGGACAGGTAAGGCCAATGCTGATTGGTGGATGAGGAGAGGAACATTTTGTTTGTTTACAACGTCTGAAGATGTCACAATACATGTCTGTATTTTTTGTGTGTTTCTGTTTATTTGTGTATGTGTCTCACGATGAGTGTCCATCCTTCTCAAGTTCCAGAGGATAAATGCTGACAAGCACATGGTAACAGTTCCTATGGTTATGGTTTAGATCAGGGTTCCTATGGTTATGGTTAGATGTAGTCTAGGCTTCAACCTCCACAGTACTGACTGGTGTTCTTCTCTCCATGGTAATTAACATGGTAACAGTTCCTATGGTTATGGTTAGATGTAATCTAGGCTCCAACCTCCACAGTACTGACTGGTGTTCTTCTCTCCATGGTAGTTAACATGGTAACAGTTCCTATGGTTATGGTTAGATGTAATCTAGGCTCCAACCTCCACAGTACTGACTGGTGTTCTTCTCTCCATGGTAATTAACATGGTAACAGTTCCTATGGTTATGGTTAGATGTAATCTAGGCTCCAACCTCCACAGTACTGACTGGTGTTCTTCTCTCCATGGTAGTTAACATGGTAACAGTTCCTATGGTTATGGTTAGGTGTAATCTAGGCTCCAACCTCCACAGTACTGACTGGTGTTCTTCTCTCCATGGTAGTTAACAACATGGTAACAGTTCCTATGGTTATGGTTAGATGTAATCTAGGCTCCAACCTCCACAGTACTGACTGGTGTTCTTCTCTCCATGGTAATTAACATGGTAACAGTTCCTATGGTTATGGTTAGATGTAATCTAGGCTCCAACCTCCACAGTACTGACTGGTGTTTCTTCTCTCCATGGTAGTTAACATGGTAACAGTTCCTATGGTTATGGTTAGATGTAATCTAGGCTCCAACCTCCACAGTACTGACTGGTGTTCTTCTCTCCATGGTAGTTAACATGGTAACAGTTCCTATGGTTATGGTTAGATGTAATCTAGGCTCCTGACTGGTGTTTAGAGGAGAAAGATGAAGGCCTGGGGTGTGTCCCAATAATATCTCCCGTCTCCTGAAGTTTGCACTTCTTCCCAACTTCCCACCAATCTAAAAGCGTTGGATTGGTGGAGACATGGGCTAGTGGAAGTTATTCTTACCACAGTTCTTATGCCAGTCATTTCCTTTCAAGTCGGTGAAGTGAGTAAGTGTACACTTCTCTCCCGCCACCCCCCTCTCTCTCTCTGGCCCCATCTTTCTCTTGCTCCCTCTCTCTCTCTCGCCCCCTCCTCTCTCTCTCTCCCGCCCTCTCTCCCCTCTCAATTCAATGTAAGGACTTTATTGCCATGGGAAACATTGTTAACATTGCAAAAGCAAGTGAAATAGATAATAACCAAAGGTTCCAAAATAATAAAGACATTTTATATGTCATTATGTCTCCTCCCCCCCTCCCCTCTCTCCCTCCCCCCAGCCACCAGCTGCTGAGGACTTCTCACACCTGCCTCCAGAACAGAGGAAGAAGAAACTTCAGTCCAAGATTGATGACATCACCAAGGACCTTCAGAAGGAGCTGGACCAGAGGTAGCCCCCCTCCCCCGCATGACATCATCATTCATCGCCACTCTGACATCATCACCACAGCGACGGCGGCGGCTATCTTACTATCTCTGTCCATCACTGAGAGAATCTCAATTGCATTCTCCTCACGTGTTCTCTCCTCTCTCAGGTCAGAGGGGAGGGACCTCTGGCTTTCTCATCCAATGGGTTTTGAGAAGGAGGCGAGGAGAGACGGCGCGAGGAGTATGCAATTGAGATTCTCCCATCGTGTCCGTCATTTGGGACACATTGATTTGTTTAAAATAGACTCACTTCTTCTGTAACAACCTTTCTACCCTCTCTTGTCCTTCCATTTCTGTCTCTCTCTCTCTCTCTCTCTCTCTCTCTCTCTCTCTCTCTCTCTGTCTCTGTCTCGTCTGTCGCTCTCTCTCTGTCGCTCTCTCCTCTCTCCTCTCTCTCTGGCTTCTCTCTCTTCTCTGGCTCTCTCTCTCTTGTCGTTTGTCTCTGTCTCTTGTCGCTGTCTCTCTGTCGCGTCTCTCGTCTCTTGGCTCTCTCTCTCTCTCATCTCTACTCTCCTTCTCTGTCTCTGTCGCTCTCTCTGTCACTTTCTTGTCTCTCGTACGCTTGTTTTTGTCTGTCTCTCATCTCTCTCTCTCTCGCTCTCTCTGTCGCTTCTCTCTGCGCTTCTCTCCTCTCTCTCTCTCTCTCCTCTTCTCTCTCTCTCTCTCTCTCTCTCTCTCATCTCTCTCTTCTGGCTCTCTCCTCTCTCTCTCTCTGGGTCTCTCTTCTGTTTTCTCTGTCGCTTTTCTAGTCTCTTGGCCTCTCTCTCTTCTATCTCCGTCGCTTGTCTCTGTATGTTCTCCTCTCTCTCTCTCTCTCTCTCTCTCTCTCTCTCTCTCTCTCTCTCTCTCTCTCTCTCTCTCTCTCTCTCTCTTCTCTGGCTCTCTCTGGCTCTCTCTCTCTGGCTCTGGCTCCCCCCCCCCAACCCCCCTCCTTCAGTGAGGCGTTAGAGAAGATGAGAGGAGTGTATGAACAGAGCCCTCAGATGGGAGACCCAGCCAGTCTAGAACCTCAGATCACCCAGACCACGCAGAACGTTGGACGACTCCGAGGACAACTCACCAAATACGAGGTAGGCTACTGCGCGCACACACACTCTGGCTTGGTAACACACACGGACACATACCCTTTTGTCATTAGCCATCTATAGTAAATAACAACTAATTATTGTCTCTGGCAGTCGTGGATGGCTGAAGCTTTCAGAGGAGATTATTCTACCAACACTGCTGTCAACAACAATCAATACAGGTAAGAGTGAGTACATGTGTCCATTCATGTATAACCTACACTACCGGTCAAAGGTTTGGACACACCCACTCAAGGGTTCTTCTTTATTTTTACTATTTTTTACATTGTAGAATAATAGTGAAGACATCAAAACTATGAAATAACACGTATGGAATCATGTAGTAACCCAAAAAGTGTTAAACGTATCCAAATATATTTTATATTTGAGATTCTTCAAATAGCCACCCTTTGCCTTGATGACAGCTATGCACACTTGGCATTCTCTCAACCAGCTTCATGAGGTAGTCACCTGGAATGCATTTCACTTAACAGGTGTGCCTTCTTAAAAGTAATTGGTGGAATTTCTTTCCTTCTTAATGTGTTTAAGCCAATCAGTTGGTGTTGTGACAAGGTAGGGGTGGGTATACAGAAGATAGCCCTATTTGGTAAAAGACCAAGTCATATTATGGCAAGAAACAGCTCAAATAAGCAAAGAGAAACGACAGTCCATCATTACTTTAAGAGTTTATATAATGTGTTTTAATATAACCAGTGT